GTGGCCAGTATCAGGATCAATTGTCGAGACTGGCACCAATTTGCGTGGCATACGCAATCGACAAATTTTCTTGTCACCTTGTTTAGGATTAGAATACTTGTAACATGTGTCACTATGCTTGTGCTTGTTGTCTGTTTCCACAAGCTGTACCACATCTGCACGAAAGCGTGCTGCAAAATTAGGCAATGATGGATTTGGAGTAGGTAAGCAAGCTGGATTTATTTTTGATTGATTGTGTAAAACATTCATAACTAAAATATGATCTATGCTTTATCTTTTTTATTACTTCTATTTCTTACTAGATGTTGGTTGATCATGTGTTGGTGTCTGTAACGATTTATTCAATAATGGAGAAGCATAAGGAACTGATGGAGAAAGTTGTTACTTGATTGGTGTCGACCAAACAGGAGATTTATTTATATTTTCGGCTAAACTTGTTAAATCAATAGTACGTAAAGCCGCATTGATATTATCTTGTGATAATCGTGGAGGAGTATCGAATGATCTTGTCACTACAATATAAAATTAGAAATCAATATTCGAATAAAAGCAAAACGTTCCATACCGTCTAAATTCTCAAAGACATGTTTATCTTTGAATTCATTCAAATCTTCTTTGATAATATCTTCTAAATATGCCTTTAACTTTTCACGAAAATCAGCATTTTGAATCTTCTCTTTCATATCAGCTGGTTTCATTTCATGTTCAAGCCAAATAAGAAGATGCAAATGAAGCGAACCTCGTCCTTAACTTTCAACAGTACCAAAATAAGCTTTTATTGGTCCAAGAACACCACCACTAATCATAGTATTTAAGATATTTGAAATTAATAAATGAAAAAATTTTGCGGTAGCAACAGGATGAGAAGCTATAATTTCGGCTCTTTTGTAAGTAGTGATCAGTTGCGCTAATTGAATATTATCTAAATCCAACTTGGCTCCCGCAAAATATAATGCCACGGAACTGTGAATATCAGCTGGATTTAAAATTAAAAAAATGCTTGGTAACCCTTGATTATAGATTAATGCATGAATACGTGTACGTAATGCCGTACGTGAATATGCTGAACCCATAACTCGACCACCGATGGTTTTAATATGATGAAGTAATTTATTTAATGCACTGTTGGATTCTAAACTGTATGTTTTTTTGGAAATGTTATCGAGCACCATTTCAATATCTTTACTTTTCAAGGATTGAATTTCATCAGCAGATGCTCGAAAGTAAGGTTTTGCTGCGGTCAGCTGAGCATGAAAACAAGCATCACGTCGTTGTAATAAATTGAAAACGACAAATATAAAACTGTGGTTCGTTTCAAAACGTAGATCATTGTACGATAACAGGTAACGTATGTGTTCTCGTAAATTTACTTTAACTGGACGCGACTGATCTTCAGGTGCTCCATGTCCATAACAGAATAAGGTTGGATACAGACCTACGAGTAGTTTTGGATTACAATATTCGTTAACAGGCTTTGAAGAATGAGGAATCAAATAAACACTTTCGGTATCCATCTGTTCTTTTGTTCCGTCATTTTTAATTTTGTGCAAAAGATAATTACTAAATTCATCTGAAGACACTGATGAGCCGTTGACATCGAGAACAGCACTAAAAAAGAAAAGATTTGCGAAACAACTAATTTATTAGCTGCTCTCACCTGTTACTAATAGGAATACTATCTGTAGTAGTACGTTCTATTGGGTCGGATAATGGATCAGGAATATATTCAATTCTTTCAGATTGAATTTCTTCATTACCTATCTTCTGTTCCATCGTTGACATAATACATTCTGGTACATCGTCTTCAGGTAATTGAGCAATATTCTTCAGATTTATATCGACATTTTGATAAAGTACATTGTGTTTCTTCAGCCAATGTAATGCTTCAATAATTTTCTTCTTGCGTACTGTGAGCACTTTTTTAAGTTGAATGCGTTCAGGAGGATAAGCTCCGACGAAAGTCGCTTTAAGTGTATCCCACAGATCGTCAAGTTTAAGTGGTAAACCATTCGTCGTGTTCACTCGGTAGCAATCAGTCGCATTTATCGAGGGCTATTTTTTTCTTTCTCTTCTTATATTTAATCTTTACTTTATCTTTTTTTGTAATTTTAAGTCCTAGGACTTAAAATCGTTGGTTTTTCTTTCTGATTTTTCTTTCTTTCTCACAAATTACTCAAGCGGAACGAACATCAAAGGTAAATATTAGTTTTTGGTTTTGGAATGCCTCCAAAAACAGGAGGAGGTGGAACTGGTGGTAATGGTATTAATGGTGGTAAGAAGCGAAACAGAAGCCTCGACGACCAACCACGACCGTCCAACACTTCACATACAATTGTACACGTTGGCAAAAAGTCATTGGCTGGAAAATCCAACCAATCAAAATTCTCAATAGCCCCCCTCATTCTAGAGGGTGTTAAGGTAAACAAATTACAATTAAATGATATATTGAAACAACAACTTAGTGAC